ATTTTAAAATATTCATATTAAATTATTTAATATATTTTAATATATTTTATATTTTTAAACTTATTTTTTATAACATTAAAACCCCATTAAAAAATATATAACTTGTCAATTCAATAACGGCTGGTGTTTAACACTTAAAAACTTTTTTATTGAATTAACTTAGCAAGTTTTAGATTTTATAGTTAAGTTATAGACTTTCGATGACATGCAATCGAAAGATATATAAAATTCGATTTATATGTGTCTTGCCTTTATTTTATCGAAGAAAAATGGAATCGATTGATAGTTGGGTGCAGTATTGTTTAGTCTTCTTTGTAATTCAATTCTTATTTATTTATTTTTTTGCTTATCATGCAACACTTGTTTTCGTGTTTTGTCAAAAGAATTACACGATGAAAGATTCATGTTTATAATAAAAAATTGTATAAGAAGATATAATTGTAAAAATAGTATTTTAATAATTAGAATTTATTTATTTAATTTATTGAATTTTTATGTTAATTATTTAACTTATTGGTTAAAAAACTTTTACCCAAGTAAAAGTTTAAGAATTTTTCTCTTCTCTTAATCTTATTGGTGAGTCTAAAATCTGAAGAAATTTTTTTTAGTTTTCTCCCATTTTTCTTGGGTAAGAGTAGTGTGAAAAATCTTTTTCTTCTCTTATTCTTCTAGGTGGGCTCCAAAATTTGTCAGGTTCTTTCTTATTTTTTATGAGTGGCCGTAAAATATGAGTAATCTTTTATATTTCTTGAGTGAGACTAAAATATAAAAAATCTTTTTCGTTATATTCTTTTTCTTGTTCTTCTCGTATGAGCCCAAAATGAACCAAAAAGCCAAACATGTGAAGAATTATTAAAAAATTACAAATTATTCTAATGATATTTGAAACAATTTATTACTTTTTAAGCGATAATTAAGGTTTAAAACCTTTAAAAAGAGCAACATTTTCCATTAAAAGTATAAAATGTTTTGAAAATTTTATATTAACTATTCAATCAAGTTTTTATTCAGAAACTATTCCAAGTTTCACTCTCAAATTATATTTATTGGATAAAAATTAAAATAAATTAAATTATTTAAGACATAAATTATGAAAAATTGCGTTAAAATTGTTTTAAATATTAAATTTAATAAGCTATATGCTTAAATTACTACATTAATATGACATAATAAATGTATTGTTATATAATAAAAAATTAACTAGTGAAAGTNTTCATATTTATAGAAGATTCAAAAACATTACTTCTTTGACGACTCTCAATATTGAGTTTATATCTATGTCCATCTTCATATTGCTTGCCAAAATCACTAAATTAATTAAGCATAATTCAATTTTAATAAATTATATAAATTCATAATCATTATACTTTAAAATTTATTTTACTGACAGTTTTTTATGTGAAGAATATGATGGAAGTTATTATTATTATTATATTTAAATTTAAGGTCACATTGACATATGAATTAATTTAAATATTAAATTTTTAAATTTTGTTCTTTGTAATAATACACATTAAATGTGGATATGGCTTTTATTTAAGCAGATATATGCAGACATATATAGTAACACATACATTACTACACACAAACATATTATATATATATACATATTTTTAAATTCATACTGTATATACAATAGTGGATCCGGAATTTTTAGAAGGGATTGCAGAAAGGAAAAAATTTACCTTACAATATATTTTAGTACCTGACGTACACGGCTTTACTTGGGAAAAACTCCCAGTATTGGTGCAGCTGCGCCCTGTGCATCCCCAAATCCTCCCCTCTACATATATCCTCTTAAACAAAGTTTAAACAGATATATACATAAATATATACATACACATGGCTTAAATTTCAACATTTAGTTTGAAGCTCCAGTTTAATGTATTAATGATGTCTAGAGGGATTATAGCGTATGAAATTTTAGATAATACATTAGTATGATAATCAGAACCTTTTAATTACACGATATTAATTGGTTCCTATTTATAGGACTGTTAATTTCTGTTTCATCCACAGATACGATTTAAATCACTCCTTCTGATTATCCTTGACATTTTTAATGGGAAAACAGTAAATGGTATTGTCTAGAAATGATTTAT